CACTCACTCCCTGATGGGGATGCCGGAGGGACAGCAATTCCATGATTGGAATCTCCAAAAAAGAAAAAATGTGGGAATGAAGGGACCAGGCCACCGTTTTGGCAGCCATAACAGCCTAACACATGCTTGCCTGGTCACTAGGAGGTCAGATGCCTGCCTTGTGGCAAGAAACCAATCAGAAGTTAGCTGGTGGTGCTATGCTTTATGGCTCTGGGTGTGCTTTACGGACAAGTGCACAGCAATGCTGTGCAGAGCATAGCAACTGCCCTAGGAGGGCCTATGGGCCATAACAACCAATTGACCAATCAACACAGGACAAGTCCTCCAAGCCTGGAGGCACATCAATCCTGAGCCTATGGGTACCCCTAGACACTCTCCTTATGCTGCCCTATAAGATCTCTGTCCCGTGGTTTCTCGGGGTCTTTCCCCAGCCATCCGCCATCGTGGGTGGATGAAAGGCCCAAGCTAGTGGAGTTAGCTCATTAAACAACTGCAATAAAGCCTCCTGCTGTTTGCATCAAAAAAAAAGTATGACTGGACTCAACTGTTTGAATTTCAAACTTCTGAAGACATATACATATCAGTAACATAATATGGACGGCATATGTTGTATTTACATAGTTAGAGATAAACACACATGCAAACATATGTATGTAACAACAATTAAAGAAAATGAGGCCATGTATTTGAATGAGAGTGAGGGTGTGGAGGGGACATATGAAATGAGTTAGAGTAGGGGGAAATTATGGGATTGGGAGAAATGGCCAGACACTGATTCACATTTAGTGAACAGATTTTTAATTACCAGTAAGTCTCTAGTCACTAGAAAATAGGTTAATGCATTAAAAAAAAACGTACAACACAAACCATCAACACTCAAAGGACCTTGCAATGTATTTGTCCAAGAGTCTTTCGTTTCACACAGCAAGCAAAGGCTCAGAAAACATAAATGAGTCTTGAAAAACCAAATGAGTTGAATTCAGTAATGATCTCTTAATTCAATGTCTGATATAATCTTCAATTGATAAAGAGTTCAACTGGGTGATTAGGAAGGGTCTGCTAGTTACATTTGCTCCGCAATGTTTTTATTTTTGAAGTTACAGGTCTCAGAAATACCAAAGCACTGTGTGCAACCTATGTGGGAGAGATTCAAAAGAAGCCCAAGACTCCATACTTCCTCAACTCAGCAACTCCACCTGCAGTTTTGACTATCAAGAGCTGGGACAACTCTGAAAAAGAGACAGCTGTTGTATAAGCAGCTAGTTTTCCAAAGGAGAAACAGACATTAGTACATTCAAGTGAGTCTTAATCTTTAGATGATTACTAATTTTTTGTCATGCATTTTATCCATTCAACAAATGTTTATTGCTAATATTTTGTGTTTAGTATCTACTGTAGGGTGGACACATAGTACAAGTACAGTGAGCAAGATAAGGAGCTGCAGCAAAAAATAAAAATACAAGACCAAGTGACTAGAATACATTAGAAATGTGACTCATTCACTAAGCTGAGAGCAGCCCTATTCTGGGAGGGGTTACAACTATCCCTCTATAACAGAAAGAAAGGACAGCCACATGGAAAGCAGGAAGGTGGGCACCAAGGAGACAATAAAGTCCATTAAAAGGCTGTGGTGAGGGGACAGGTTTGGGATTTTTGTTGCTCCACAGTGTACTAGCAGTAATGAGGTCACAGGCTGCAATAATGGATTTGAAATATTTTCCCTATAGATAATATGAAGACAAATGGAAATGAGTCCAACCGCCGCACTCACTTTTACCACATAAAGACAGAGTAAACCTCTGCAACATGATGGTCGAAGTGCTAAACCACTTAAATTTATTCTTTCTAAATCCATATAGAAAACAATGCTCAGATGAGTGGTAAGCAGGACCTGGCTTATTGAAAACAGTTAAACTATATTCTGTTCTGAAGTGAAGGACCTATAAATACAGCAACACCTGGTTTATCTCACCCAAGGACAAAAATCACCCAAGTATTAAAGTTTTATTCATCAATTACTGTTAAATTAGTCAAAATGAAAAAAAAGTTCTGTAAATTCTGAGATGTGTTTTATTAGTATGATCTATATGCATAGCAATGGTATCATACTTATTGTATGTAGGATATAACTGCACACACCTATGTATAGCATTCACATAATGATCAAGACTCTACTAAAGAATTAAAAACTTTATTAAAGAATTCGGCAGCCCTAAGGTAAAATGCCTGTCTATAAAAATAACAACACAGGGCCCCCTGAGATTAAAGGCTATTCATCGAGCAGCTGATAGCCCAGCTTTGTAACCAGACACCAGGATGGCCAAGCCTCCTGAGGTCTACCTTACTTCAAATTTCCCACTTCTCTCAAAAAGTTGTGTTGCTTTCTATAAGCTTATTTATGTGAGGAAACTAAAAATGATTTATGCATATACAGGACACAGGATGAACATGATGAATGTTTGTGCTTTTATCCTCTGGCATATATTATTTTCTACTAAGGAAGCAGCGTTTACAATACAATACAATACAGATTGACACAGTCAATCAGAACATATTTGCCTCTTTTATTCAGACGTTTATGGCATTGTTCACATAAAAGAAAGGCAAGACAAAGAAACAGTTTCCAAAGCTCTTGAAGTGTCAGACTCTGGATGAAGACCTGTGTCTAAGTGTTCTGCTGCCTGGAACTGGCCCGTTTTGACTATTTAGCTTCACCATATTTTCAACGCACTTCCTTCATCTCACACACACTCTTGCCCAAACACAGTAAATCACAGTTAATTGCATGTCTTAAATTAAAGACAAAATAATGTACACTTAATTGGGGGAAATTGTCAATTGGTGAACAAGTCTCGCTCATTACACTCTCTGCATAGGACAGATGCCAACTGCATGTTCCTAGCTAGACAAGTGACTATGACACTGAAAATATATGGGCCATCCTCTGCAGCTCAGTCTGAACCAAAGAAGAGACTGCTTTAAAAACACCCCTGCACTACTGGTACATCTTTCTTTCACTACAAAGAGTGAATACATACATAAATAATGTGCAAAATTGTGGGTAAGTAGGAAAATTCAAGCATCCTTGACAAAGGCTTGAACAGAAATGATATTTTAGCCAATAATGGAAAACTCCCAGCTGATACAAATGATTTTGTCATACTTCTTAACATGAATAGACATTAAGGAATACTCTTACTAGATAGATACTAATCAAACAGTATTATTGTTTTGAGGATATAAAATAGTGAAAGAAGATGTACAAAAAAAGACAGAGAAAATACACTACAGTGTTAAAATATAATTTCTGAGTGATTCATTTTCTTAAGTTTCTACATTTCCAAAAAAGTATCATTTCGGGTTTTAAGACTTCCATCTCAGTTTGTTACTGAATCTGGTATAACATGCTGTTGAGTGCATAACATGTTAGCTGTATGTCTATTTTCAGGACTGATTATTTGATATTGAACAACCAAAAGACTTAGGGAGTCGTTTTAAGTGAACTTACCTTGCTATAATAATAAAAATAACATCTTAAAATGTAAAACTAGTTACAAAGCACATTCAAACGACTCTATTGTATCTTTAGTTGTACAGACAAATAATTTCAAAACATATTTACTGTCATATTCAATACAAAATTTAAGGAACAGGCTCAATTCAGTGAAATACTCAACATAGTGATGTATTTCAACAGATATCTTACACTAGCAAACTATGATTTAAAAAAATCACTGTTAAAATTCTTTTAAAATTATTGACAGTGACAAACTACAAAACTACAAAATTCCTCTTTACCATTCCCCCTCCATTATTTATTCTCTATATTCAAACAGCCTTTATGTCTAGCTATCTGATATAATCCTGATGCCAAATCTGGCAATAAACAACACATGCATGAAATAATACAGTTTCACTATTTATATTAAAGTCGCTAATGAAAAAAATTGTTAACATACATCAATAATCATGCTAATTTTTGCTTCATTTTCTCTTTCGAAGATAGGAAGGATATAAAACCCAGCAGAGTAAATGTGTGCAGTGGTACTCAACTATCTGACCTTGAAATAAACAACCACTCCCTTCCCTCTTTTATTTATTAGGGGTTGGAATGGGTAAAATAATGATTTTCCTCAAAGAGTTGTCTCAACCTCAGGCATCTTTACATCCCAAGGGTAATATTTTCATTCCATTCTTAATGGAACAAATTTCTAATCTGAATATGTATTCAGAAATAATTGAGGCAGTGTAGTGTCAACACATCACACTTCCATCAAGTGTCATTCCCCACTGCTGGGAACCCAGTGAGCCACACGGCACAGTGACAGAAGGGAGAGGCACCCGTTTTGCTTTCTTTGGATTTTCAAAGATGTGAAAGGCCAAGCTTCAAATTTCTAAGAACATGTGTGAAAACCCCTGTTCTAGGACCTAGAATTGAAATGGTCATTCCCATTTACAGTGCTATGAGGAATACCCAAAATAACCGTCACTTCTGGCAATCTTTCACAAGATTCCGACACTCTGTCCTTAGAGTGAGTAACATACACTTTTGAACATAGTCCATCCCAGGATGCCCGAAAATGGTACCAAGATTTCCCTTCAGAGCTCTTGAAGTTTAATAAAATGTTCAGATTCTTAAAATTGTGTGGTAGGCTATACTGTCATTTTCTTTACATTATTTTCATTATAAAAACTAAGAAAGAAGATCTCCTTGAGTATATTTTATGTTCAAATTTTTCCTGAGATTTTGTTTGATGTTTGCGAAGACCTCGTGATTATGTAAGGAAGACTAGCAAGCAGAGTTCTATTTCATAAAAATCCACCAACCACTATGTTTTACTTTATCATTTTTCAAAAGATGGAAATAATTTCTTTGTTCCAGAAAAAAATTACCATGATCCATGATGACAGAAGAATTGCACCTAAACAAAGGCAGTGCCACCATCTGCCTGGCATTCTCACAGTGTGACAAATAAACTGGTAATTAACTGGTTTCCTACCGAAATCTGCCAGCTTTAACTCCCCCGCGTCACTGATCAGAAGGTTCTGCGGCTTCAGGTCCCTGTGCAAAATATACCGCTGGTGGATGTATGACAGCCCTCGCAGCAACTGAAATAAAAACAACTGAACAAACAGGAGGGAGATGAGAGTCAAGATCCAATTCAGATAAATACCAGTTCATATATACAGTCTGCCAAATACAGTAGTGAGAATGGACAGCCACCTCTAAAATATCCTACCAATCATTAAGCAAAGCGTTCAGTGGTAGCATACCAACCACTAATTCATTACAAAGTTTAAGTCAGAGAATTTTCAAAACTTCATGGTGTCAATCAAGATACTTCCTCAGCCACAGAGCTCTATAATCCACATTCTATAAATGACAGGGCATATGAAAGATCAGGTGATTACAGTTTTACAGGATCGATCTCTCTAGACTAAAATGCTGTCTAAGAGAGCAAAGCAATCTATAACATCAAAAGATAAAAATGTTATATAAACATTTATCTTTATTTGAATCTGTAGAAAAGGCAAGAACATGACATCCATGGACCCGCCCCACTAATAAGCTTTAAGGAACGGAAAGATACGATGATTTGAGACATTGAAAACAAAATAGTCACGTGGTCCAATAAATAACAAATTATGATCAGGCTGCCTTTGTACATATGGCTGTAGAGATTAGCTATTGCCGGAAGATAGATGTGCACATTCACTAATTGCAGAGCTGACCTAGCTTAGCAGAGGCAGCAAGGATTCAACAATAGTTTGGGTGTGGCAAATAATTTATAAAATGACTAGTGGCCTTCATTTTGGAGTTTCATAACAAGTGAACTCTTCTATTTTAATAACAAAAGTACAATCCACTCAGTATCTCAAAGCCATTCCTATGAAGAAGTTAGTTTCAACTACTTTGCTTGCCAAAGTCACTCTCATTGACCTAGTATTTAAACAAGCCATCTCCTAAAACAAAAATAAAACAAATGTGCTTTTACATTTATGTACCAACTATATCCTGCTCATAAATCCAGCTAATAACAAAAGGCTGTGCCAAACAGATGTAACATGAGTTAAAAGACCAGTGCTCAAGCCACTCTGAAATATTCAAGTGGAAATGATTAGCAACTCCTTGAGGGCACTGGGAGCTAGCATTTCTGGAATGCTCTCACTAACCAGTGCTATGAAATTCAAGCACACTTGTCTATTGATGTAAAATGTTGAAATGACAATAAAATTAGTTCACCGCAAAAAATCTTTATAAGTGATAACTATGCATAGGCAAGAGGAGGCCTTGGCTCACTATTTCCAGAGTGCAAGTAGATTGATGTGGACATCTGGAGACAAACATTCTGGCTTAAAGACTCAAGAAAACAAACATCTTTCCAGAATTTGCCTCCTCTTGCCTCTTCTTATGGAGAAGATGGAAAGGGTTGATGCACACTAGCTTCAGTCTTACCTTCTAATCCCTCTTTATCCTGGGACATAAGGCTTGTGATTCCTATGGAATTCCTTAGTTCTTCAGTTTAGAGGGAAGATGAGTTGGTGAATTAAAATGTATGTATGCAGATAGCATATACAAAATGTTGGAAATAAACGTTTTGTTAATTAAAATTTGACATTGACTAAGCTTCTAGGCCTTGCTTAGTACCTAAAGGACTGAGGTTATGTTCAACCTGATAGCAAAATCATCAAGTACATCCTATCATTATCCACATCAGGTGATGAGCAAACAGTGTGGTTTCTCAAGATTTCTCAGCAATTAAGTGGAAGAGCCAGGATACCAACCAACAGTGCTTGATTACAAAGCTGACACTCTTAACTAACCTAGTAGAGGGACTCTAGACAATGAGAAACACATGTGGTCATGTTAGTAGAGAAGCTGCTTTCTCAAACTGATCGGGTAGCATCTGAACATCCAAGAACATGGCCTCTGTACCCACTGACCTGCACTCATTCCAGCCAGGTGCTCCATCCCTAGGCTTTTTTATTCTCTAGCTCTAAGAAACCTTGGCACATCATAATCAAAGGCATGATGCTTTTCAACTCTGATCCCTGGTCCCTGCAGCCCTTCTCTGACTTCCTTCCCACCCCTTCCCCAGCCCCTCTGCTCTGGATAATGAGCTCCCACTCTATCCCCTGGTGTAGTGTCTGAACACATCATTCACAGTACAGACTTTAACCCAGCTCCCACAGATTGTATCCCTTATGCCTCCTCATAAGCTGGGTACACAGTTGGAAATTCCGTATCCACTAATGGTATTACCAGATGGATTAGAGACATCTGGATAGGGCAGATAAAAAAGATCACAGACAGGAAGTCCTGGAATAGGATTCTTAAACAGCTAAGAGCAGAAGTGGGCAGATTAAGCAGGACCAAAGTGTTCCTCTTCTAATACCCTCAGTAACTAGTGAAAATACACAATCCCTGAACCAATCGAGAAGCTACTCAACTAGGATATCATACTGAAGAAGATTAAAACAGGTATTACTGAAGGATGCAATTGTACACTCAGCTTTAGAAGCACAAAAGCTCTAAACTTTGGGAGCTAACATGACCCCGAAAAGTATATAAAATCAAGACAGAGCAAATCTCTATGCTGCCAGGGATGACCATGCAAAGAAAGACAGTTACAGGAACAGATCCCTTCACTTAAGAGACTTCCACACTGAAGTCTACACTTGGTATCCTGAAGGTACAATGAAGGAAAGATCTAGCAACAAAAGACTAATAAAACTGGCTGCCCTTATATGAAGATCAGCCTGTAAGAAGAAAAGAACTCAGGAAATTTGCCACTCTGGAAACCTAACAGGTAATTAAGCTATATTCCCTGGTCACAGAAACTGAAATAATGGTGTGATGAACTGTTGCTACTCTGAGGAGAAAACCCGAGGCCATGGCCATGAGTATAACAGAAACTCAGAACAAACAAAAGACTATGCAACAACGAAGTGTCACAAATAGACGGATATCAAGATGACAAAAGCAAACTCGGTGCTGGTGCACATCCTGAATCCCTCCCTGCACACAGACTGAAACAGGAGGATGGCTAGTTCCAGGCTGGCCTGAGCTATATAGTGAAACACTGTCAAACAAACAAATGAAAGGAAGCAAGCTAGCAAGGAAGAGGTGTGAAGGGAGGGGAAGGAGGGGGAGGGAAAGAGGAGGAAGGTAAGAAGAGGAAAGGGGGGAAGTAGATGTTTTACAAATAGCATCTTACAATGGCTAACAGTCTACGTACTGGTAAGCAGGGTGGGAGACACTAAGAACTCTGTCCCTTGGTGAGCTAAGTAGAACGCCCTATGTAACACTGGAGAACTTAATCATAGGGGGTTTCTCCTTACGCACCAACAGGCAAGGACCTAAGTTTCTCATTTAAGTTTCTGGAAATGCCATGTCTCTCAGATGTTGCATAAACCATAACATAATTAAGCTCTCATTTAGACTTTCAACAAAACAATAGAGGATGTTAAGGAGAAAGAACCAACAGAGTGACCCAAGCAAGTCAGGAGAAAGGATCATATTAGTTGTTATTAAAATTAGTAAATGACGATGGAACCCCATAAAATGAAAAAAAAAAAATAAAGACTTGCTGCTGAGGTGGTTCCAAGTACTGTGACATGTATTATTTAACCTCTTTGATCTGAAAGTCTGCATTTCTGACAAAGAAGTGCAAAAAGGGAAAGTCCGAAGCAAGCCTCCTCAGAGTTCTCACAATGCTTTCCAACTTGAGCCACAACACATTATCTCCACTGTGGTAAGCGGTACTTCTGATGCTTTCTATGAGCAAGGCTGAGCAGACAGACACCCAAAAATCAATGTCCCTTCATTATTAAAAGACCCATTTAGCATATAAAGAACTCAAGGTTCTCAAGCCTCCTTTATTTTTCTATTCAAAAGTCTTCTTAGAAATAAGTAATATGGCAGCAGCCAGTACCAAGGACAAGATTGATAGATAATGTTCAAATCACATTCTCTCTGCTGCCTGTGCAGAATGTCTTCCCAAGAATACTTGGTCATGGGATATCCTACTTAATCCTTCTGAACAGATTTTTCTGAATCATCAGCACACTCTCTGAAGGCTTACACCACTGTGTGAGTATGCTCAATTTCTGTAACTGAAATACCAATGAGTCAGGCCTTAAACGACGATAGGATGTGCAGGGACTGCTCTGTCAGGAGCAGATCTCCAGCCCCCAAATCTTATCACCGTCTGCAGGGAACATTCCATAGTCTCAGTTCCATGGCATATACTACCTAGAAATACCCGGTTTTGTTCTTTATTAATGAAACACTTACTAACGTATATATACATCCTGCTGTATACGTACAAGAAAAGGAAGAGTTTAAAAGGAGAAAACGAAAATGGAGAATAAAATTTAACAAATTTCATTCACAAGTATCCATTAATATGTTATTCCTTTTTGAAACTTGCCAAGTTTTAGAAGGGGAAAAAAAGCAGGAATTTTAATCATAAGTTTGAAAGTAAGTTGGTAAAGGTACGCACTGTTGACTTTAACATGCTGTATTTATCCTGCAGACATATTAGAGACACAGCAACAAGCTTTGTAAGTAACCCCTGGTGCCAGTGTCTGAAATGTAACCTCAGATGCGCTTTATTCTACTGGGTTCTAGGACTAGTCAGAAATTCAAGGATCCTTTAATATACAAGACTCTCCTTAATACAGGAGTAAGCATGGTTAACATTTTGCAGACTGCCAAGGCATGAAAAGTTTCCTTTAAGGAGTAAATTTAGGGACTCTTAGAGATTAGATAAGACTATCAAATCTACCAGTGAGAGCTACTGGCAATAGTGCACATCCCCATGGAATGTGTAGTAGTTTCCTACAAAGAAGGCTAATTGACTTTGCTATCAATGGGAAATAGTTTAAATGTCTGTGTCTTAGTTTTCTCATTTTAAGAAGGACTGCTTGAATCTTGGATGGATCCCTTTAACAGCCACTTGAACCATTAAATTATACCATTCACAATTCTATGAATAACAATGGGACAGGTGCTAAAGAAAGTGACTGTGCTATTAACCACTTACTGAGACCTTATTACGGTGCACATTGTTCTAGGTGTTGCTACATATCCATCCTTCGAGAAAAATAATCAGAAACAT